CAGAGTTCATCATTTGGAACCATGCCACCAAACCATGACCCTTTCCAGCTTACAGCTCAAATTGGACCCATAGGAAGCCACTGCTTTTAGTTGCTGAGGTACCTATCGTAGGCTACTGTTGAGAGCAGCTTGCCTAGCAGGAACTGTTATTCTTTATGAGAAGGGCTGAGTTCCCAGGACATCACTGACATGCGCAGAACAGTATAGAAGAAGAAATACTGCAGGAATCTGGCTGTTTACAGCTCTTCAAATGTAAATTATCTCATTCTCTGCAGTTTACTTGTGTGTAAAATGCTATAAACCATTAAAGACTCTGCTCTCTGCGTGCTCCCTACGACCTTTGTAGAAGCTCTTTTTTCACCTTTGCTAAGACATGAAAGGAAGAAAGTATGTCCCACCAACTAGTGTCACACAAATGTGTTGAAGGAAGGTCTGCGGGGCTTTTGTTTTGTTTTGACTAAATGGCAACTAAATAGTGATTGTTCTAGTAGCTTCATCCGGTGCTGGTGAGGTCTGAGTTAACTGAACTTGGAAGAGTAACCGTGGAGACTGGCACTGGTTTCTGATTCCATTAATCTTGCTGAGATTAACAGCAAATCCCCAGGGAATGTTTGCAGTGATTCAGAAATAAATCATCTTTTCACGTGGGTATTACTTGGTGACAGATATTCTCTTTAAATGCGCGTCTTCCCAACAAAGAAGCCGCACGGTTCTTCTAATTAGATAATGAGAAATTCATCCCACAAATAAGAAGTCTTGCAAAATGCAGCAAACAAGCAAGTCACAAATGTTATATAAATATTACATACACACACAAAAATGAAGATTTATTCAACAAAATTGTGCATTGCCTTAGTAGACATGTTAGAGGAAGGTTATTTACTCCCAGTTAAAAATTGACTTATTTTGAAGCTGGGGTGTGGCTCAGGAGTAGTGTGTGTACTTAGTGGGTGCATGCCCCGCAATTCCAACCTCAGAAATACACCCAAGAAAAATCGCTTGTGTAGGACCTCAGCCTGCAAACAGGAACTAAAAACAAAGTGTACAGTTCTTTAATGAAAATCTCTAATTATCATTTAAATTATAGGAACCAAGATGGATGAGTTGAGTGGGATTTAAGAAGCAGATGTTGTTCTAATCACGCTTGCCTCACCCAAAGCTGCCCCCTGACACTGGTGATAAGAAGCCAGAGTAACCAAAGCCTAAGGCAAACGTGGCACATTCACAACCCTGGCAGCAGGCATAAACGCACCCAATTCTGAGGGCTTATCAAACTTTTGCTCTCCTTGGCACAGATGCCACAGATGACAATTTTCACTTTGCTTTGATAGCATCCGTGGGCTTTTAAGTTTTAAATCCCTGTATTTTAAAATGAATTATCCATTCAAATTATAGGATAATTATAGAAAATACTCATTCCACATTACTTTTTGGTGTTGTTAGAGCACACAAAACTTCAAATATTTATTACAGGCAATCAGTAGGAAGGAAGAGAGTTCTGATAAAACATACTCTTCTTTTAGCACATTGTTAGCATTATTACAAATTAAGAAATGTCCGGGTGTATACAAATGGGTGATCTATAGTGGTAGTATCCTGTGTTTCAGCAGGAGACTCAGTAGCAGAAGGAGGGTACCCTAGTGTGTTTCACTATAGAAACAATCATCTATTCACTGGGTAAAGAACTGCAGTGGGTACCGAGCTCAGTACCTTCGTGGCCTAGTCAAGCTGTCAGCCTCAGCTGAATTTGTGCAGTTCACGCCGTGGCAGAGGGTGCTCAAGGCACAGGAGTAACACCCGATTCATTTGGTTCACATTGTGGGATAAGTTGGCGGAAGGCAGAGAGCCACTATAGGTCCTTAAGTAGGCATTGATTCCCATCAAACTAAGCCATGTCATTGACTGTCCTAGTACTAATCCCTTCCCTTTATGGACACAACTCTGACAGGCTCCTATGAGCCCCAAGTACCCTTCAGTGTCTGATTTCTTACTATTGGGATTAGAACATGCTCCATTAAGGTGAAAACTCAAGCTTGAGATTTCCCAAGAATTAGCTCACACTTGGTGTGCAAGACATAAATACAGAGAGATAAATATTTAAAAAAAATACCTAAGGAAATTGGTCAGATTTTAGGTCCTCTGCATGAAAATGTGAACTTTCTTGGCTAAAGTATATTAGTGACATGACTGAGGTGATGCCATCTTGTCCAGACCTTCACCTCGTTCCATTTCCTATCTGTTAACCTTTCAGCCCATAACACCCTGGACAGCCACATCCACTTGGCAACACTTCCGGGACTCCCATGGTCCTGACTATGACCCAGATATATAACTGTCTGTTGACTGTATAATCAAAACGGAAGTTACCAGGTTCCCTACCTACTCCTCACAGTGATGTCATTGTGATGTTTTAGATAGTACTTTTTTTTTTTATAAACGTTACATCCCTGAGCTCCGTCTCCAAGATATCTTTGTGACAGGAGCCTGCTCTTAACCACCAGTTTAAATAAAAGACGCTATATGCGCAAGTGGTCCTTTAACTTCCTTGCCTGGACAATTACATTAGTACCTGAGTTATACACATTCAGATATCTGGGATTTTTAATGATGAGTTTGGAATTTAATTTTTCATGATGAGTTTGTCAATTTTCAAGTTTTCTGTGCATAATATAGTGGAAAAAATAGGATTTTAGGGCTTATGTTTATATTTACCTAGTATATGGTTGTCTTGGGGCTGGAGAGATGGGTCAGCAGTTAAGAGCACTGCCTGTTCTTCCAAAGGTCCTGAGTTTGGTTCCCAGCAACCACATGGTAGCTCACAACCGTCTGTAATGAGGTCTGGTGCCCTCTTGAGGAAGAGACCCGGTCTGACGTCCTCATCAACTTAGAACAAGATTCAACAGAACTGCCATAATGCGGGCTGCCCGTTCACGCTTCAGCATTGCCAGTGCATTCATTTCATCATTCACACGGATGTCTTAGTCACTGTTCTATTGCTGTGAAGAGACACCATGCAGTAGTTACAAAAGAAAACATTTAACCAGGGACTTGCTTACCATTTCAGAGGTTTAGTTCATTATCATCATAGCAAGAGGATGGCAGCACACAGGGCGCTGGAGCAGTAGCCGAGACCTATGGTCCTGATCCACAGGCAGAGAGAGAGAGAGAGAGAGAGAGAGAGAGAGAGAGAGAGAGAGAGAGAGAGAGAGAGAGAGAGAGAGAGAGAGAGTGAGCGAGCGAGCTGGGCCTGGTATGTGCTTTTGAAACCTTGAAGTCGAACCACAGTAACACACTTCCTCCAACAAGGCTACATTCTGGATCCTTCTAATCCTCAAATAGTGCCACTCCCTGGTGACACTAATAAGTATTCAAATATATGCACACACCTGTGGGGGCCATTCTTATTCAAACCACAATGGGCACATTCTTTTAACTTGTCAGAATTAGAATGGTCATTTCCCCTGGATTTTTCTGGTAAACCATACTATGCTTCCGCAGTATCCAAGTGGGATCAAAATTGTATTAATGTCACTCGAAAACTTGGGCTTGGACCAGAAGAATTCTGACATAAAACCTTATCTCCCTTTTCCTTTTTTCCCAGGAGGGAGAAACATGGGTTCTCACTGAAAGCCCCCTCGCTGCAGCTGACAGCTCTCTGCCTTCTCTTCTCTCCTCCAGTTGAGAGCAGCTCAGCTCTCTTTTCTATTCAGTAATCCTGAAGGACTTGACAGTTGTCAGCAGAACCACCGGAGCTCTCCTGGCACTTCTCAGATCCAGCCTTTCAGAGTTTTGTCATTTGTTTAGCTTTTCGGGATTCTAGTGTCCTTCCCCTGGTCAACCACTGGCGATAGAGAATCCCACAAAGACCGTCCTGCTCTCCTCACCGAGTAGAAAGGAAGAACATTAAAGAGCATGGTTTCCTCTCCTCTAGACTTCTTCTCTGGAACTTTACTTCTCAAAGTGTTAATGTATAGCAGGAAACAAAGACATGGTAGGGGCCCAAGACTGAGAAACATGCCAATTGGGTAGGCTTCCCAGCTCTCCGATTTTACAAGCCGTGTGATCTAAGAAATTATTTAACCTCTCTGTACCTCATCTTCCTCCACTGTGAATGAATACAACAGCCTCCCTTTAAGTTAATCTATGAATTAAGTGAATAGGGTGTACACAAAGCACTTAGATTTACCATGCTGCAAATGACAACTGCCACAACTATTAGCTAAGTTTCTAATCCAGCTAGCTGTTGCTTGTATCATGATCTAGGGGCCTGATCTGAGTTCTAGAAGTCTATTCATAGCAAGTAAAAAGGCCAGCCCAATATCTTGTTATTTTTTAGTAATGTGGACATGTTTCTCATACCTGTGAGGTGTTAGTACAACAGTACTGTGATTCTTAAATTATCATTCCCTTTATTTCCAAATCCCTGGTTTCCTTTGCTCCTTGTGGATGTGTGAATGAGGAAAGTGATGTTTACATTTTCCCTTGTATGTGTGTTTGTCACCGGGGCAGCAGTCTATAGACAGAGGAACCAACCACCTCAGTGCGCCTGGGACTGAGAAGGTTCTGGAAACAACAAATTTTCACTGCTAAAACTAGGAAGACCTTTTGCCAGCTTAGCCTTACAGCTACTACATAAGCCGATGAGGATCCATGAGAAAAGGATATGGTGGTGCTGATCTCATTAGATACAATAGACCTTACTATAACACCTGCTGCCTTGACTGACTTTCTCCTGTGCTAGGGTCAAGCACAAAGTTTGGCACATACTATAGTCTCGTATCCTCTGCCACTGAGCCACACATCTAGCTTGGATTTCAGAGTCAATCAATTCCTTGTAAGAATCCAAGGAGCACATCTCTACTGAAATAATTAATTCTAAATGGCAAGTATCAAGGCTTTGTCTTTACTATGATCGTGCTCTCTCTAGGATTTCTTCCTCAATTTTTGCTTTTCTATTTCCCTCTGCTCAGTTTTGCACTTGTTATTTTTTTTTCTTTTAGGTCAACTCAGATCAAAACATACTCATGGGATAATGCACAGGTTATCCTGGTTGGAAACAAATGTGACATGGAAGATGAACGGATCATCTCCACTGAGAGAGGCCAGCATTTAGGAGAACAGCTTGGTAAGACACAACTGAAAAAAAAAGAAAGCTTCATAATTGACACACTGAACAGTCATAGGAGTGTGTGAGTGAGTGAGTGTGTGTGTGTGTCTGAAAAGTTTGTCAAGAGACCTTGAAAAACAACAAGACCCGTGTAAGTCACAAGTACATTTCCTCTCCTTATCTGTAGCTTTGGTCAAATTCAAGCACAATTAGAAACAAAAGTGATTAACAAGAACTTTGGTCTTAGCTCAAAATAAAAGAGAAAAACCCTCTAATTCTTCTTTCATGAGAATTACAGGTCTACCTTTCCTATTTCTTCATTTTGTTTTGTTTTAAGCCACACACAACATTTTGCATTGACTTGAGTACTTTATTGTGATCATTATTGTTCTCAAGTTCCTGTTAAGTAGAGTAATAGCAAAGAATAGGTTCAGTCCTAGATTCTGGGCTTCAAGACTTCAATGATGAGCCATGGTACTGTTTAAAAACGATTTAGAGAGTCGGGCGGTGGTGGCACACACCTTTAATCCCAGCACTGGGGAGGCAGAGGCAGGCGGATCTCTGTGAGTTCGAGGCCAGCCTGGTCTACAAGAGCTAGTTCCAGGACAGGAACCAAAAGCTACAGAGAAACCCTGTCTCAAAAAATCCAAAAAAAAAAAAAAATATTTAGAAGTCAGTATCATCTCTTGAAGGTGCATATCATAACCTATCCCCACTTACCAGAACCTTTAGAGATAATATCCCATTAGAAGATACGACAGAGCTTTAGAAATGGCCATTTGAAACACAAAACACACCAGAAGAGAAAATTGCCAGAGAGTCGGGTAGAATTTCAAGAGAGATTTGCAGCTGATTGATTCAAGACATATGTACTCAACACCTATTCTTTGTCTCCTATTGTGTCAGACACCAGAGAGGATGCAAATAATAATGATAATGTAGGATCGCATGGCAAGATTAAAGGTACATACAGTGAAACTAACAAGGAAACCAGAACAGGTCAAAGAGGTATCGATGATCTAGAAGGCAGAGACAAGAGGAAAGCCACAGGGCAAAGTGGGAAAGAACAGGTAGACAGAGAACACTGCTAGGTGGAGGTGTGGGACCAGGAGTGGGACAGGAGGTAGGGGATAAGCAAGCAGAGAAGACACCTACGGAGAGGGTGGGTGGGGCTAGGCAGTGCCACTTGGAAGAAGCAATTGGTAGAGAAGGTGGGTTAAAAAGCAAGACTCATTTGGAAGGATCCCTAGAGAAGAAGAAAAAAAATTAAAGCCAGTAAAAGCAGATGAGTCTTTGTGAGTAAGAGCCACAGAGGAGCACAGACAACAGTGAAGGAAGTTAAGCTGAGAGGACAGTGAACAGGAAAGTTGCCTGGCGTGAGCAAGCGAATTGATTCGGGGCCAATCCCAGTCCTGCTACCTAGTGTGCACATACATAGAGAGAAGATGACCAAGAGGTCACAAAGCACCTTGACACCAGATGACACAGTCACTTTCCTCTGCCTCTCACCGCTTTGCCTCATTAGTAATGATGGCCTCAGCTCATAGTTGACCCCAGTAATAAGTCAGACGAAATTTGAAGACCACAGCCATGTCAAGGACGATCTGAGCTTTGCCCTATTATTGGAAGCGTGGACTGTGGAAGCACAGTCTACCACTGGGAGATCTCAATAGCTGAGCAGAGTCCATTCTCCAAGCTTTATGATTTCCTTGTGAGATCAATGAGCTCATTCCACTGAAGGCAGTCACCAGATGACTACAGGATTCTGTCCATGAGACTTCCCTGCAACCGGCTATGAAAACATCACTAGGCTGATATTTAACCTTGCTATAAATGCTCATAGCCTCTACATTCTCTGTCCTAGGACCTCTCCACATGCCACCAGTGTTTGAGAGTCTTACAAACTTGGTAACTTTTCCTACTACCTCAGGAGGTTAGGAGTGGACATGAGAGTGTCTTCTATGTAAAAGGGATAGGGACTCTGAGAGGGAATTCCCGTGTGGCTACCTTAAGCTCTGTTTGCTTGCCCTATACTTATCATCTAGCTAGACATCTGCCTGGGGGAAGGAAGTACTCCGCAGAAGCAGGCTGTCTTTATAAATAAAGTTCAAAACTATTTGGCTCCAGGAAAAATAGAGTAACATCGAGAGCTACTCAACGGCATTGTCAAAAACTTTGTTTTTCCATCTAATAAACCACTTGGCTGTGGGGAAAATCGGGTATGGAAAAGATGTTAGAATGACAGAAGTACTTCCGGAGATACTTGCAGTAGCACACACACACATCACACATTTCAATTGTCTTTTAATAAATAAACACTGCCTGAAGATCTGAGAGTAAAACAGTCCCACTGGCCAGCATTACAGACCAGGTTATGGTAACACACACCTTTAATCCCAGTCCCCACAGTGACACGCACCTTTCTCCCCAGTAGCCACACTAGTTGCCATAGAAACTGGTGGTACATGCCTTTAATCCCAGCCCTAGAGAAAATTATAAAATGTGAGGAGACAGCTCTCAACACAGTCTCCTTCGGAGATTCCAGGAGGCAGGGTCACCATTTAAGACTGAGATCGAGGTAAGAGTCAGTGGCTGGCTGTTTTGCTTTTCAGATTTTCATGTTGAACCCCAATTTCTGACCCTGAGTTTTTATTAATTGCGTTTCACACACACACACACACACACACACACACACACACACACACACACCCTGTAATCACTGCACAGATGTGGGAAAGTTTCTCAAATTGTGAGACAGATGGATTTTATGCTCCTGTGCAAATTCTTCCAATAGTCTCTAATTGATTTTTTTTTTTTTTTGGCTCTTCAGTCAATAAAACTCAGCAGTTGTCATAGCAACCTGCAAATGTACCTTCTTGGAGAATCATTTACCTCGTGAGTGGTTCATTCTCCTCATCACTACACACCCTCTACAAACAATCCAGAGAGATAATTCTAAAAACTAATAATTCCCTTAATCTAAATAGCAAGCTTTTAAGGGATTATATTTTTAAAATATTAGCAATATATATAAAATTCTATTTCCTGGAGATTAGGCATTTTTAAGGTTATTACCACATATTGGCAGGTGATTCAAAACACCAGCTTTATTTATCTGTTTATGGCTAACTCTCCATTACTGATGTTTATCTTTGTATCATTTGCTCAACCAAATGTGGAGTCTGGACAAAACTGTACTATAGCTGAGATCTTTGTAATTTCTCAGGGATGGGCTGCTCTTGCAAGTCTGATTTAATGTTTAGGTCACCAAACGTTTAGTAAGTGTTTATAAAATTCTGGCTACTTGGTAATTGATCTGGTAGATGACCTTACCTTCTAGAAACAACCATCATAGAGCCTGTAAGTGGCAATGTGGACAGTGAAGATTTCCCTGCCATCCTTCTCCTGGATGTTTTCCTCCATTGGCCCTGAGAAGTAGTCCCTCATCATTAACCCTGGCACTTCCCATCTCGTCACTCTGTCCATTGCTGTGTTCCCTCTCCTGGGTCTCCTCTTCCCTCTGCTTCTTACATGCCTAGCCCACCACACTTCTTTCTACACACTTCCTTGGAAGTTCTTGTTCACTCCGAGGCTTTATCAACCTAAAAACAGACAAATCACGTCCCCAGCAGTGAACCCATGATTAAGATTCAGGTCTCTACTTCCAGCTGAATGAACTGGGGTTTCGAATGAATTTATCAACACCAACAGCAAATACCTTCCCCCACAAGTTTTCAAAATTAAAACCAAGGAAGTTATATTATAAGCAAAAATGTTACTTTCATATATCAGTATTTTTATTCTTACCATGCTAACTTCCCTGGTGGGAGTGTTTGAAGAGGGTGAATCCCTGCCCGAGCTGAACGTGATCCTCAGACTGACATTCTCCCCATGCACTTCCAAGCATTTACTCTACTACAGTGCAACCTGTAACAACATATAAAAGGCTTTGCATTTTAAAATTCTGCAGTTAAATGTTGTCAGTTATAAGCAGATTCCATCTCATAACCTAAGTTTTAGATAGGAAAACCATTAAAGAAAAGTGAAGATAAAGGGAAAGACAGAATTTTTCTTCAAATAAAAATTAATTTACCTGGGAGAAAAAAAAAAACAACAACAAAAACCACAACCTAGTGGAAAAGAGTTTGTGTTGCCTCGAAATTAGAGTGAGAAGCTCAGTACTTTAACTGTTTTTATCATCTCTGGAGAAAAGGATACCTAAGTCACCCAACACAAGTCAAAGAAACACTAAAGAGAAATTAAAGTTCTTCCTGGAAAGAACTAATTGTATTTATTAATAGTTTCTGAGAATACAATTTTGATATGTTTTAATTTATATTAATATTTCTAATAAGGCAAATAATGGATAAAATCCCCAGTGACTTTGCATTCAAGTAATTTCATGGTCTGTGAGGCCAAACTGCTCAATTTCAGCCTCTTCCAGAGACACCCTATAACGCTTTCCGACAACCACAACATACACACATTTTACTATCTTTCCAAGCTAAACTGTTTTCTTCCCTTTCTTTTGTCATTTAATTATTTTTTGTTTCAATTACTCATTTGATCACCATTCTTAACACTTTCTATGTTGAGGTTGGGAGTGAAATATCAATCTTTATTTTGTAGCGCTTCAAGTATGATTTCCATATCAGAAATGCTTTCCAATATATGAAGAATACATAAAGCAAATAGAAGGAAAACAGAGATGTGAGCTGTGAGTTTATCCTGAAAGAAGGGGCCTGCAGTGCAATGTTTGGGCAGCTTCTTCTGGAAGGGATACAGAAAGACACCTTCTCTGTCTGTGAATTCTAAGCCATGGGTATTTGATAATTCCTGGCTTAAGTAAATTATTCTTTTAAGGGAATCATCTTTTAAGATGGGAAAAGGGAAAGCTGTGGAATGAGGTATTCTTTCAAGCAGCAGCACCTCTGGATGTGTGAGGGGGACCAGGCAGAATATGTCATTGTTTTCCAAAAGATAACTATAAATCAACAGAGGCAAATCCCAGCACTAGC